TGGGTCAACAAGCAAAACCCCCTTTTGTCCCTTTCTCTTAGTGGCCCCCAGCTGCTGCTGGGGTTTGGCCTGGACGGGGCTGTGAGGTCTGCTGAGCTCTGTGTTCTTTATGGGGGCTGGGGGGCATAGAGGGAGAAGAAGGGAGGGCCAGGGAGGGGCTGGAGCTGTAGCCCAGTAAGTGCACCCCAGGGAGAGCGGAACCCCCTCTTCCCCCGACCAGACCCGCTTCAGCCTTAGGTGAAGTCTGGGCTTTGGGGGTCACTGGGTAGGCTAGTGATCTTTTCGGGATGGAGTAGAGGAAACCTGCAGGTCAGGGGTACGCTCGGGGCACTCTCCGGCCACCTGGACACGTGGCATCAGTCACACCAGCCCCTCAAGAAGCTGCTAGGCAGGGCTCCTAGCTGGCACCCCACCTCGCCCAGGACGAGGTCTGGCAGCCAAGCCCAGCCCCAGGCAAAGTCTCCGGGGTGGACTGGACATGCAGTCCCGGCCCAGCCTCCCACAGGCACTGGGCTCCAGCCCAGAGGCCGGGGTCAGGGCTTAGGGGCTGGTGGTGGGAGGAGAGGCCAGCACAGGCAGGAGGTGTGTCTGTGCAGGGGGAGCCCCCGCTCCCTGTGTGGCCCGGGGCTGCTCTCCCCACAGCCCTCCCGCCCACTACCTGGAGCTTCAGTTTAGGACAGAGGTTGGAGCCAGTGACCCCCAAACTCCTTCAGAGACTCTAGCTGGCAGCTACAGATGCTGGGAGGATGAAGGTGAGGCTTGGGGGTGGAGGGACTGGGGTACTGGGGGTGGGGCTGGGCAGCCAGGAGCTAGTCCCTCGGGACCTTCTGATTTGTGGCTCACCTCAGTTCCAGGGCCTGCTCCTGTGGGTCCAGGCCCGTTGTGTCCACTCCCCTGGTTGCTGATGGCGCTGTTCCCCTGCTGACCTCTCCCCTGGCTCCCAGCCCTGCTCCTGAGCCAGGGCTCAAGGCCCAGCACGGCCTGTCCCCCGCTTGCCCCTCCAGCTCTCCTGTCTCCCACCCTTGGCCTCTATAGCCGCGAGAACGCGACGTGAGAACGCCATGTTTCTGGAATGTTCTTCCATTCTGGGCGCGCACATTTTGCACAGACTGTTCCCTCTACCTGGAATGCGTTTCCTTGCTGGCCGCCCGGGTGAGTGAACTCACCTCACCCTGAGTGTCAGTCTCCCTCCTGCCCCTGTTGCCTCCTCGCTGCCTGCTTCAGTTTCAGTTTGGTTTTGTCACTGCTTCCCTGCTCCAAGGACGTAAAACACAGCTGTGTGTTTGCACACGACACCTTGGGTGGTCACAGCAGGAGCAACATTTATAACTCCAAGCAGCTCCTCCCTGTGCCGAAGGAGCATCTCCAGCGGCTCATCACAGGGCCGGACCTGCTGTCATCGGGGTTCGATCCTTTGCGGACAAGGGGAGCCTTCTCACCCCGGGACCATGCGTGTACCCCTGGACAGGGCCCTCCGAAGGGAGGGTGGGCAAAATACCTCAGGGAAGCCGCCCACCTCTCCCCTCCCCGAGTGTGGCGGACCACACTCGTCAGAGTGTTCATTCCCCCGAACTTGAAGTCAGCCCCCGGTCACTGTGTATCTTCCTGGGATAGCTACTGTCGGTTGGGCAGACCTAGTTTGCTACTTGGGACCTATCTGTGCTGGAGTCTCTGGGCGACCTGGTCATCCGGTCTGTCCCCACTCTCCTAAAGGGTCAGCTTCAAGGTGAAATCACCCACCCTTGGGGGCCTTTCCCAGCCTCCTCTGGCTTCCTGGCCTTGGCTCTGGTTCCGAGGCAACCCGTGGGGCAGAGAGAACAAACCTAACTCACCTTCCTGTCGGAAACTCACAGCTGTGTTCCTTGCCCTGTCTGACCCCAGCGTCCTCGTCTGTGATGGTGTCTGCCTCTCTGGTCAGGAGGAGAAACAAGGCCGTGCGTGCAAAGCCTGGCGCTCAGTGGGCGTTCGCACGTGCAGTGGCTCATCTGCCCACCTCTTCCAGCCTGGTGGCCAGAGCTCGGCTGACCGACTTACCCCTGACCTCATTTCCTGGTTCTGCCCTGGGCCTATCTCCTACTCTTCCTCTCCAGAAGGAAATCTCATTCACGCCTGTCCAGCCCAGCCTGTGGGCCCCACCTGCCCGAATCTGATTGTTACACTGTGACTTGAGACAATCTGAGGGTCCCTGAATAAGGTGTAGGGACCATTGGGTCCCTCCCTGACCTTAGAGTGATGACAAGATGGGCTTTTAGAGGCCAGATCCAAGGCCTCCCAGAGTCCTTGGGGGCTTCACTTCCTCCAGGAAGCCTTCTGGGATTTCTCCATCCAACAAGAGCTTGGTTTGTGGTTACAGACAGGTTTTCCAATATCTCTCCAGCTGCGACACCAAGCTCCTGAGGGCAGGACCTATCTCTACAACAGTCCCTCCCCTGCATCTCTGGGCTCCTACCTCATCCTGGTAACTGTTCTGTGGCGCGGACTGTCAGGTTTACCCTCTGGATGCCCCCACACCTCTCTCTCCCACCTTCATTATCAAGTGTGGCGGGGCAGCGGGTCAGAGGCTGACCTCACTCATATCCTGTTTCCACTCCAAACCAACTGTATGACCTGGGGCGGGCTGTTAGGCCTCTCTTGGTCTCAGTGGTCCCAACTGTCAAATGGGAATTTTTTTCCAGTCGTTTTCAAGGCTGCAAGGGCGTGGTACAGAGAGGTGGTGGGTATAGCAGGGGCAGGTCCACATGAACAAGAGGCCCAAGCTGGCGCTCGCTGTGTCCACCTGGCGTCCCCCAAGCAATGGCCGTGCTGTGAGTCATCGAGCTTTGGGCGAAAATAAGCATGGCATGGCCCCTCAGACTTCCTGCCCCATGTCCGGCTCTTGTTCAGCAGCACAATTGCCGGCTTAGGCCCACGGCTGGGCTGGCAGCTTAACCCCTTCAGGGCCAGTGGATACCTCTGCACCCCTCATCACCATAAACCAGAATCGGCAGGGTGACCTGGGCTCAGCAACTGTGCTTCCCTCCAGCCCGAGGCTAACGGATGGCCGAATTCAGGCAAGAACGGGGCAGGAGGAGGTGGCCTCCTGGCCTTGGGTCGTGGCCCTCGGCGTCACTGGCCCTCCCTCTGGCCACTTGCTGCTCTGAAAACCTCCAGCCGCGCCAACTTCCTCAGCTCCTCCTCGCTGTCCGAGCTCCCGGGAGTGCCCACCTCCTTTTGTTGGGGCCCGGTCTGCTCACCTGACACCAGAATGGGCATCGCATTGGGCTCAGGGGAGCGGCGGTGGCCTCTTTCCATTATGCCCTCAGCCTGCCGGGCACCCATCAGTCCCAGAAGCCTCCTGTTCCTTCAGAACAGGAAACAGACTCAGAAGCACCCCTCTCTCCACAGGTGGCGACTGCGGGCTGCCACCCAAGCCTTTCTGCCATGCTCAGCCACAGTGAGCCCTGGGCCGCGGGGATTTCAGCTGCGGTTTCCTGAGGATCCCCGGCACGACTATGTGTCTGTCACCTCATTGAACAGACTCCATTGACAGATGAGACGTGGGGTGGTTATGGGGGGCTGGAAAGAGCCTGGGCTTTGGCCTACAAGATCCTGGTTCAGATCCCTGCTCCAGCTTTTACTTCTCCAAATTGCAGCTGCCCCGACTGAGAAGTGAAGAGGACATAGCTAGCTCATGGACTTGTTGGCAGTAAGGAGCATAAGGAGCCGTGGTTAAAGGGCGTCTGTGGATATCATCCGCAGTTCCCACAACACACTGCAAAAAAGAACCCCATTTCCGTTGTTCAGACAGGGCCTCCCAGCAGCCCTGTAGGCTCCTGCTCCTCCTCCAGGAAGCCTTTTGTGATTTCTCCTCCCGCCACTGGTTGGCTCCGGATCAGGCCAGGCTTTTTAGCATCTCTGTAGCCTGAAGCAAAGCTCAGGAGGACAGGACCTGTCTCCCAGAATAGGCCTCCTAGGAGGAGTCCTTTAGCAGGCTCCTCAGGGTGCAGAGATGTTGAATAATTTCCCCGAAGCCACATGGGAAAATGCGGCTGGGTTTGCACCCAGGATCAAGCCTAAACCACCCGCCTTCACGTTTCCACAGCCGCTCCTAGAATATGGCCCCGCTGGGGTCCTGACACTGGGGTCTCTGGGCGGGTGGGCGCCTGTAGTCACCTCCTACGGAGTGGAGAGGGCTGCCCCCTCAAAGGCAGGGCCTCAGATGCCTGGAACTGAGTCTCAGTTTCCTGTTCTGAAAATGGGGGCACCCACTGACTGGCTGAGGGGGTCCGGCCTCGCACTCCCTCCCACGATTGCTCTCCCTCACCCGTCAAGAGGGCAGCGGCGGATGGCAGGCTCTGCTGAGCCCTCCTGTGCGGGTTGGCCTGGTGTGGCTCCGGCCCCGCCATCCTGTCGCCGAGCCTGACGTGGATGGCAGTAAGCAGGCCTCGAGTCCCTCGGACTCGGGCAGCCCCCGGGGACAGCCAAGCCCTGGCCCCTTCCCTCGGCCACCGCCAGGCGCCCCCAGCCCTCAGCCCTCGGCAGGGAGAGATCCAGTCTGCCCCAGGAGTGGCTTTTCCCTGGTGCCGAGGCCCATTGCACAGATGGGGAAAGCCGAGGACCCTCTGTTTTGGGGCACACGGCCTGGGGCTGGGGGCAGCCGGGGGTGGGGGAATCCACTCACCGTGCGGCCGCCGAGCTACGTCTCTGTTCTGTCAGAGTGGCTGTCCGGCGGCCGAGCGAGCCGCGCTCTGTGGAGCTCACCAAAGCCTCTCTGGGGGAGCCGCACCCGCTGAGGGAGGCCCGGCCGCCTCCCCTTCAGGTTTTCCAGCTGCCCGGGCCCATTTCCCCCCGGGATGGCTTCCTGTTATTGTTCTATTGTAGGGCGGGGTTGGCTGCAGATAGGCAGGCCTCACGGTGGGCGGCCTCTGGGAAGGCCAGGGGTGCTCACTTGGACCCCCACACCAAGCTTCAGCTCTGGGGCGCTGAGCCCCGCTGGACCAGGGCCCTGCTTCAGCCTCCTCGTGACCCCGAGGGCAGGTGCTACCTCCCCCTACGTTATAGCCAAGATCACTAAGCTCAGCAGGGTTGGGGCGCTTGTCCACCCAGCTGGGTAAGTGTAGCAGAGCCAGAAATCCAGGCTCAATCAGCCTGGGCCCAGAGCCAGATTTTCCCAAGTGACCCCGTGACATGCAGGAGGGGGCGAAGGGGTGGGGCTGGTGATGGGGAGGCTCCAGGCGCCGCTGGCCTGGCCCGGGTACGTGGGGGCTGGGTAACGAACCTCAGCTCGTGGCTCTGCAGGGCCCTGTTGCTTCCTCTCGGTGGCATTGGCGTGGGCGCCAGTGCTAAGGTGGAAGTGAGGGCTTCTGGGGTTGGTCAGGCCTAGACATACCGGCAGAGCCAGGAGCCTTAGCTCTGTTCCTCACGTGCCTGCGGGCCGGCTGTGCCCCCCCCCACCCCACCTCGGTGTCCTCACCTGTAAAGTGGGGACCGTGGCGGCCTCACTCTCACAGGCGCCTCAGGGGTGGGCAGGGCAGCAGGGGCTGGGTGCCGAGCCCATCAGGGGCGGGAAGTGGGCCCGGAGGGGCCTGTGGGGCCCCCGTGAGGCGCTGGTCCCAACTGCAGACCCTGGGCCCCTCCCCAGCCAAGGGATTTGGAATCCCCAGGGCAGAGAGTGGGACTCTCTCTGTGGATGGTGGGATGGTTGGGCTTGTTCCGGTATACAGCTGGGCACACTGAGGCCCTGAGAGAGGGGACCTTGCCCAGGTCCACCCGAAAGTCTGTGGACACTAAGGTGGAGAGGGGAAAAGGGGCAGACGGTATTCTGGGGGAGCAGAGACTGCGGGCTCTGTTTTGCATACATTGCAGTTGAGAGGGCGCCGACCTGCGCAGCAGCGTTGGGTTGGCGTCGGGAGAGAATCGAGTTGGAGCAGGGTGTACACAGCTGGAGACGCGCACGCCAAGGGGGTCCTCACAGCAGGGCGTGCTGGGGGCTTTGTGGGTGGTTCCAAGAGGCCTGCGGCGGGGCAGAGGACTCGGGAGAGGCGGACTCTGGAAGGCAGGCAGGGCTGGGTGCCAGCCGGCCACCCTGGGAAGAGGAGGGAGCCTTGGTGGTGAGGTCTGGGGTCTTGCAGCCGAGCAGATTCACAGAACAGCTCAGACTAGCCCGGCAGGGGCCTGGTGAGGGGAGGAGGATGTGCTCACCGGCCCCAAGCGGAGCAGAGAAAGGGGGGGCTTTGTTTGGTGAGAGCCTGGCCAGTGGGGCGAGCAGGCCGGACAGGTGATGCGGGCGGTGAGGAGAGTGGCTGCCTGCAGGGGCGCTGCCCCCTGCCCTAGGCCCGCTGGCTGCCCCTGGGCCTCGGGGCTGCAGCACGCTGGCCTGGCGCCCCTCTGGAATGAACAAACAAAGTCTCAGCGTTTCCTCCAGCAGCACCGCTCTGCTTTCCCTGCTGGGGCCTGGGCTGGGCTGGGGGTGGCCCAGGGGAGCCGGGGCAGGCCCCACCCCGCAGTGCCGTTGACTGTCCTGTGGTCTCCTGCCCAGGAGACGTGCCGGCTCGGGCAGCGCTTCCTGCTGGGGACGGGGTCTGCCCGGCACCGTCCCTTTGTACTGCCAGTCCTCGGGGAAGCTGACGCTGCCCTGAAACCCACTGTTCCTGTCCATCTGTAAACAAGGGGTGGCAATCCAGGCTGGGGTTGGGGGAGGGGGCTTGGGGGGCTGGAGTGGCCGTGAAAGGTGGCCCAGACCACAAGAGGGAGGCTGGTGCCCTTGGGGGCCCCCTGAGGGGCGCGGGCCCTATTTCTGCCACTGCCCAGCCCCTGCTCCAGCCCCTCTGGAGGCATAGTTGGTGATGGCAGGGCACCAGGCCAGGAAGCGCCACCGGGAGCAGAGGAGGCAGTCGGTGGCCGACAGGAAACGGGATGGCCTGGGAGACCTGATTAGCAGCCGGACAAGGAAGCAACAGTGGGGGCAGGTGGGGCGTAGCAGCCAGGCCTGGGGGTACCCACCCAGCTTCTGCAGGACAGAAGCTGACCAGGGCGGGGCCCTGATGCCCTGCTTGGGAGGTGTGGGCTTCGGGTGGGCAGGCGGGTTCACACCCTCCCCTCCCCTGCTGAGTCCTGCCTGGGACCGAGCTGGCGGAGGCGCCTCTCGCAGCCTCTCTGAGGAGTGGGTGACCTGTCCGGCCTGGGGGCTGCCCGGAAGGCGAGGCGAGACCCGGAGGGGCAGCGGCAGCCGCAGTGAGCGGTGACAGAGCTGCTGTTTCTCACAGTGGGCCCTTCGGCCACCCCCCTCAGAATCCTGGGGGTCTCTGTCGACAGTGCAGATTCTTGGACCCCACTGCAGGCCGCTGGAGTCTGTATGGCTGGCCAAGGGGCGCCAAGATCTACACGCTTGTGACGCCCTAGATGACATGTTTGCCCGCCCGAGTTTGAGGCCCACAGCCCGTGTGTGCTGGCGACACAGAGCCCTCCCCACGGGGAGGCCTCTTCCCACCTCAGGACATCCTGGAATTGGGGGGAGGGGGCTATTCAGATGGGGACACAAACTGGGAATGAAGTGCTCCCGGGGTCACAGGCTTGTCACTGGTGGGCCGGAAGTGCCGAACCGTCCTGCCTCCACGGGGACACCCCTCACCCACCAAGCACTGCGGCCCACCGCGTGAGGGGGCAGCAGGGCTCATCCAGCCGGAGTTTGTGCCCCTCTGCCCAGGAATGGGTGGGGAAGCCAGACTCTGGGGGCCAGGCAGAGTGGCCCCGTGCGTCGGCCCTTGGCCTTCCCCTGCCCAGCGTCCTTGTCCCTCTGCTCGCCAGCTGCCTGCCTGCCTCGGCCTCCTGCAGGCCGCGCTCTGCCGCTCCTGCCTGTGCTGTGGGGCTCCCGCCCCTGGGCTCCTGAGGCCCCCGCACAGCCCCGAAGGGCTCCACCTTGCTCCTCTCCACCCTCTCCCTTGTGCCCTGGGTCCCTGTCCCTGCAGGGGCAGGTGGGGACTCTGTGTGACCTGGGGCTCACGACTCCCTGGGGCTGGCAGACAGCCCCCAGGGGCCACGGTTTGGGCGTGGAGGGCCAGCCGTGGGCAAAGCCCTCGCGGAGAGCGGCCCGCACGCAGCGCCTGGCATCTCGGAACATGCCCGCCGGCGACCACCAAGTCAGGGTTCTCCGTGAGAGCCTGGGTGCACTCCAGGGGTTTGGCTGCTGGGGTCTCTTCATCGGCTTCCTCTCTCCTCCCGAGAGTTGCTCCAGACACCTGCAGCTTTGAGAAGCATGGGCACCTCAGGGGCAGCGTTGTCCTGGGCAGAGGAGGCAGAGGGCCCGTTGAGGGATGGACTCAGTGGTCAGAGGCTGCCCGGTGGGCGCCTGCCTGCACAGGACGGGGTGTGTAGGCCTTGGGGGCAGCTCCGTCTCCGCCTCTGAGCCTGCGTCCACTCCTTGTCTCTTAGGAGTTACTTCTGCCAGCACAAACCCTGCAGACACACCACCCCTCTTATCCAGCCCTCCCAGACCACCCCTCTGGGGAGCATCCTGCCCCCTGGGAAGCTTCCACCCCCTGTGCACCCCACTTGTTCAGTTTCACGGTCTCCTTCATTTTCTCACGCGGTGAGACCTCACCATAGCCCTGAGAGCTGTAAATACTACTCACAGTTCCATTTTCCTGACGAGGAAGTCAAGGCCCAGAGAGGCTGAGTAACTTATCCAAGGTCACGCAGCTCTGGAGTAGCAGAACCAAGATTCAACTCTTCCCTTCCAGTTCCCGTTTATTGCTCTCTCCAGAACGCCATCCTGCGCCTGACAGCCTGCCACTTTGGCAGTGTTTAGGCTCACTTACTGTTAGGTCTGCAGCTAGTGACGCCCTAGCTGTGCTGGGCTTGGGGAGTGCAGAGGTGACCCAGGCTGGATTCCCGCCCTCACTGTGCCAGGCCACTGTGAGCCGCGCTGGGTGGGATGCGGTTGGTGACAGAGGTGTGTGGCCCTTGCCGGGGGTGACTGCAGGGGGTGGCCTGGGTTGCTGCTGGAGGACAGCGTCCGCAGGGTGCTCTGCAAGGAAGGGCCATTGCTCCCCCAGCACAGCGCAGAAGGAAGGTCCGGTCCGGCAAGGGCAAAGGCATGGAGCGTTTTGGGGAAGAAACCGTTCTGCGGGGGAGGTTCTGAGGTGCTGGGAGGGGGCACTGGGGACTGGCTGGGGACAAAACCAGGTGTGTGAGGGGTGGTCCTTAGGCGCGCTAGGAGCTCAGCAGGGGACATTTGGGGCTTGCACGTTGGGCAAGGCCCCGAGGCACCCCGAATTTTAGAGAATCGCCCCATCCCGCCTGCATACTTTTTGGCCGCTCGGTGGCCCGAGGTCAGGCCTGCAAGAGCCACAGGCTGGGCCACAAGTGACCGCTGCGAGCATGCAGGGGCTGGAGCTGGCTGGGAGGACGAGGTCCAGGGCGGCCTCTCCTGGGCCAGGAAAGCGCTGGTTGAGCAGAGATTGAATTCCCAGCTGCGGGAACAATACCTAGTCTGCAGAGCACTTTCCCAGATGTTTCTCACTTTTCCCCCACAGCATCCGGGCAGGCTGCTGGGAGGGGGAGGGGAGGGGGAGGGGAGGGGGAGCTCCAGAGCCCAGGGGCCTGAGGGAACCAACAAGGAGCAGCTGGACCGGGGGCTTAGGGCAGGACCTGGGTGTTCATCCTGGCCGCTCTGCCCTGCCATACAGCCCCGCTGATCCTGGCCAAGCCAGGCAGCCTTCTGTGCCTTGGTTTCCCTTCTGTGAAATGGGAATGATAACATGTTTTCCTCATGCAACAGGTGATGACCCTACTGGA